GGAAAGAGTTAATGCTGAAAAAGAGTTTTTGTGGCAAGTGCCAAATGACAAGCTAATGCTATATATTTATAGAAAAAAAAATTAGAGCTGCTTTTCTAGAGAGAGAAATGGGATCAATCGTGAGTTAGAAGCAAAGTGCACTAATTAGAGAATGTTCTTCGTTGTTGAGTATGGAGAAGTGGATAATTCGTAGGTAATATTAGCTACATTTTATTCAAGTATTGCATCAGCCAGCCAATCAATTCTTTCAATCTTTCTCATTCTTTAAAATTTAACTCTTACATATGTTTATCTTTTGGAAAGAAAAAACAATCAGTTTTCAGAAATTTTTTTATGTTTTACATTTTTGGGTTATTTTTCAAATAAAGACAATGATATAGTTTTTATTATTTAAATTTAAATATTATCAATTTGACTTGAAGATTAAAATAATGTCAATAATTAAATTTTATATTACAATTTTGTTCTGTATACAAAGAACCCATGAATAAAAATATTTATCTACAAAATACATAGTAAATTAAATAAAAACCTATATATATATTGTACGTACTTTTAAGTTTTTATATCAAATTAAATCAATATTTTTAAGCAGTTATTTAGAATTTATATTTCCTTTAATTTTTTAATCAATATTTGAAGTCCTTCAATCAATATTATATAAAATAATATATTTATAAATTATTTTTAAAATAATATTACATCTGATACTTCATATTTAAAACAAACAGGTACTTTTTTTTTTGTTTCTTTGTATAAGACCCCTTTTTTGTTCCCAAATATTCGCATTTTTTATTTTGATTTATATCTCTTTACCTATGTGAAATATAATTTTTTTCAGAGAAAATTGTAGTGAGAAGTCAATGTTAATCAGCGTTATTTGTTACAACAAAAAAAAAGCGTTATTTTCCCATGATGCGGTATGGAATTGGTAAGTGTCCACTCGGAGTAACTTGAATGCTTCTTCCCCTTTTAAGGAGCCAACAACCACGTTTTAAACCAAATTTTTTTCAACTCTTTGACTTTTTATGGTTGCAATCTCTCTCTCTCTCTCCAAAAAGGGTAATATTCTTAACCATAATTTAAACCATAGCCAATAGCTAAATCATCTGAAGCAGAGGAGTTTCGGAAAAGGGAAGAGAAGGTGTAAATTGTGGCAATATGATGATGGGATTGCATGTGATTTATGAGTGAAAACTTGGCGTAACGTGCAACAGAAATACAAAACCGAAGCAATTAAACATAGGTACGGGGTTACTTCCCAGATCATTTATAAGCGTGTGAGATGAAGGTACCACACTTACTGCGTATATGCAGCCGCGTTAAATCTTGGGGTCAGCTATCTTATCATTTAAAGTGCCTTCAACGTAGTGAGGAGATTAGTCACTGCTATTGACAATAGATACTTCAAACAAAAAAAAACACTTACCGTGTGATTGTTGTTTTAGCGTTTCATAATATATTTTCACGTCAATTCTATCCGAATATAGAAAGTTAAAACTACTTGCATTCAATTTGACGTGAAAAATCACGTTATTAACACCGAATCAAACACGCTATAAGCCCATAATCTCAAAATAGTGCTATCTCACACTCACCCAATTACGTTATATCTTGCACCTGCTCTTTTCGTTAGGTTTGTTTGGTTCCAAATTTGGTACGTAGACGCAAACCAAATTATCCAATTCAAACCAAGTGCACCCCATAACCCAATAAATAATGCACCATGAAACATATAATATACTTGTGGTTGAAACATGTGGAGAGGTTGATACTTACAAAAGTCATGTATGTGAGTAAGTAAGGTAGACTGCACAATCTGTTGCGGAAAAACCAAAGAAAATGTTGACAAACCCATATTTGTTTGGATAAGAACAAATATATATTTAAAATTTTAATAATAACCTACTCAACTGATTAGTGCTGTGACGTGACAATATTATCCTACACAAAATCGCCTAGTAGTAAATCAATGTGTAGGATGGAGTATTAACTTTTTTATAATAAAACAAACTTTTTATTCTTTGGCTCAAAAGTTAATTATGTAGCAAGACTTTTTACAGAAGTAGACTAGCCAGAAATTCAGTTGGGCTAACTACATTTGGACCAATCGTCTTTACAGGCTTGTCTAGCATCACCCAGATTCTATTAGATCAATAATATATTGGGCCATTGTGATTCATTATTCAATCATGTTGGGTTGTTTGTCAAAATTATATGTTTTGTAGCATATTTACAAATACACTTAAAATAAATTGTATTTGTGATATAATATGATAAGAGAAAGATAGAGGAAAACTGAGAGTATCAAATAAGTGTTCATAATATTAAGGAGTCCATATATCAATATATAATGAGAAATATTAATAAAACATTTTTATAAATACACTAATTGACACTTTTTTTTTAATATTTTTTTATCATCAATCAATAATAATAAAGATCGTGTTAAATAATGTGTTTAATATAAAGCGAATTGACATAATTATTCTCAACAAAATCAAATCTACTTTATACCCTATAGTATAAGAAAAGGAAACATGTACAACAAATTTGTCAACTAAAATAGAAAAAGAAAAAGAGAGAAAAGTTTGAAATGTAATAAATAATAAAGTAAAAAGAAGTGAATACAAAATATGATTTTGTATAAATTGTTGTATCTTCAGCATATACCTTTCTAAAACTTCCAGGCTGAAACTGAGAAGAGAGGAATTTTGTCCCAACAAATAAACAAGCATTTGTGCTTCTGATGTATGTGGTATCTTGGTACATAGCTTTGCAACAACTTTGATGCTAGCCAAATCCCATAAGGGCTTATAGGTACCCTCCCAAATCCTGCCAATTCAAGCCTTGGGATCCATGTCACAAGTTTCTCATGCCTCTCCTTTCTCTCAACCCCTTCACATGCAACAATGTTCTTTATCTCCTCCCCAAGCAACATCTTCTCCATTAGGCTTCTCTCTACTAATGTTCTAGAAGTGGAAGCTTCCAAGCAATCAAACAGTGTACCATAAAAGTCCAAAGCTTTGTACACCCTCTCTGTCAAACTAGGCCCATTGACATTTGATTCTTGCTCAGTGATCACCAACACTCTAGGTTGGAGCTTCCACAGGCCATTGAGAAAACACTCCATCTTATGAGATGGACATGGAGAAAAAGGTGAAAGTGCTGAGTTTGGACTTGGATTCATCTTCTTCTTCTTATTCTGTTTGGAAAGCATCTCAGCAAAAATCATCTGACCCCTCATCTTAACCATGTCATCATCAGCTGTAGCCAAAAGAGAGTGAAGCTGAAGCACACAACTAATTGCAAGAGGCTCTCCTCTCTTGATAGGCAATTTCTCAGGGTCAAGGCTCTCCAAATTGCTAACAACAGGATTGAATTGGAAATAAAAATCCAACCTTTTAGCTTCAGCTCCAAGAAGCAACTCCATTTGCTCTAACACCTCCTTCTTCTCATGTATGGCTGTGATAGTAATTTTCATACATGGGGTGTTTGGTGAATGCTCTTTCAAACCCTGCATGAGCCTAATCCATTGAAAAGCATCAGAAGATGGACTGAGATCAAGGACATTAATGGCTATTTCCCCTTGCATGGCTTCAATGATGGCTTGATTTGTGATCAGGTATGCAATCTTTAAGAAGGGATACAAATTAAAGAATTGTTGCCTCACAAATTCTTGTTCAAGAGTTGATATTGTTTTTACCAAACGCAGAACTTTTGGTACACCACGCAAATTTTTGGCCACTTGGCAATATGCTAGTGCCTCGGTGAAATAAGTGGCAACTCGTTGCAGTGGATCACCATTAGGGGAAGCAAGGCGAGAGAGATGGTACAGTGCAATATCTGCACCATTGATGTTGCCTGATTCAGTATACGCTGCACAGTCTTTTAGAAGATTTGCTAGGAGTATGCCCTTGGATTCCAAGTTCATCCTTTCCACTACCTGTTGGTACAGTGGACCTAACATAGAATAAAAATATATTATACACTAATGAGCAAAAGCAAAACACCCTTCTTGGTACCTGAAAGATAGAAAACCTTTGTCCATTTTCCACCTTGTAATGCAACCATCTCATTTTCCTTCCCTTTTTAATGCAACCTTAATTTATTTTCATTACAATGGTAATATAAGACTTCTTTTTAAAAAATAATAAATATCATTAATATAAATATTAAGGAAGAATCTCATAATTATTAATATTATTATTATAACAGTAACTATTGATATTATTACTATTATTATTATTGATATTATTATTATTATATCCTGGGCAATCGTAAACAAGCTTCATTTTAGAGGGAGGGGTAAAGATTTGAAAGGTGTCACTTGGGATTGAAATCTAAGGCATTAATTTCCCATCAAGGGTGTGTGAGAATTTCCTAAGAAACCAGAATATTTTTTAATCATGTAAATTAGAAAAGTTCAAAAACGCAAAAGCAAAATAAGTGTCGGAAAGTGAGTAGGATGGTTTTTGCCATAGGTACGTTTTTCGCCATTCCTAACATATGTTTTTAATTCTATCTAACGGTAAAAGAAACCATCACCGGTTGTATTATTATAAATGATCTAAGGCTAATTAGTGCCAGAAATATCTACCCTGGAAGTCTTTGTAATGTTACATAAGGACGAGAATGAAAATGACAGTGTATGCAATTGTAAACAAACTTCATTTTAGAGGTAGGGCAATGGTTTGAAATATGACACTTGTGGTTGCGGAAATCTCCTTCCTTTTGCACATCAAGGAATTGACACTTGTGGTCGGGAATTTGCTAGGAAACCAGAATATTGTTTGTCAAGTGCCAAAGAAACAAAACACCGTTATGAATGTTGTAAGGTAAATTAGTGGAAGGTGCAAGTGAACTTCATGGTTGACAGAGTCAGATGCAAAAAAGACAGAACTGTTGGCCTCAAAATTCTTTGTGCATATTTAGTTATAACTATTTCATTCAGCATATTCCCAGCTCCAATCCAAACACACAGGAGATTATATACAGTGTCCCAACATTCCAACAATCCCTTTTTATGATCACAATTTCTATCTGTTGTTATGGCAGACAGTGTGGTTTCCTTTGTTTTAGATCACTTGTCCCAACTGGTGGCACATGAAGCAAGGTTGCTGAGTGGCGTGGAGGACAAGGTGAAGTCCCTCGAGAAGGAGCTTCAGATGATCAACGTCTTCCTAAGAACCACCATAAAAGCGCTATCAGCGAGTGAAGTTAAAAAGCACCTTTAGAAACATGCTCACTCAGAGCGAGTTATATGGATGTTGTAAGTGAATGCATTGAATCTAAAAGTCCATTATAATTGTTATAAAATAAGGTTTTTAGGATGTTTTTATATCCCATTCCAATCATCAATATTCTTCTTAGCATAATTATAGAGTGATTAGAGATAATTCCTGTAAGGTTGTTCTTGTCATCACAAATCACTCAAAGGTCCCTTTATTGTTGTTGTCGCAACCGAGATCGCGACGGGACGGCAAAAAATAAATTGAAAAATAGGGAGTTGCCACTAATGTTATTTTTTTACGGAAAAACATTGGAAAAATCATAAAATAGAAAACAGTATATGAAAATCAGATTTTTGAGTTCGGGAATCAATTACATGTGAGAAGGATATTAGCACCACACAACGTTCATCCAAAGACGATTACTTTTAATTAATTAAACAAATTAATTATAATTTATAAAATATTTATCTCACTAAAATGATCAAATATATTATATTTAACTAATGCATTAAAAGGTTAAAATTATTATTGTTATATAAAAAGGAAGATAATATATTTTTTATTTTTTGGCTCGACAAGATTTATTTCTTGTTCCTATCTCAATGTTTAATGAAGAATAGTCACGTAGTTCTTTGTAGAAAATATTTGTGTGTTGATATTTTTTAATTAAGTTTTATTTTTGTTAAATATAGGATTCTTGAACTATCTCAGCTCATTTGCCCTAAAAATATAAAATTGACTAAGGTGTACACCAAAGTTAATTCAATAAAATTTTAATTATAATTATTGCTATAGATATTATTATCTTAAAAGATTTTTGGTTGGACATTTTTGTTTTTGGAGAAAAAAATTTAAAGATATCAAGTTGTCACAACTTGTATTTTAAATTCAAAAGCTAAAAGGATGTCACATCTAATTAACCATTCTTCAAATAAAATTTTTACTAGAATAACTTTGAATATTTATGTTGAATATTGTGGTAGTATTTTTTTATATTTAATTATATTTTAAATTTAAATAAAAAAGACTTAAATAACAAATTGTCATAACTTGCACCTTTAAGTTTTAGAATCAAGAAAATGTCATATTTTAATAATTCTTTTTAAAAAATAATAAATATCATTAATATAAATATTAAGGAGGAATCTCATAATTATTAATATTATTATTATAACAGTAACTATTGATATTATTACTATTATTATTATTGATATTATTATTATTATTATAACTTATTTGAATCCGTTTAAACATTTTCTGTTTCAACTTCTCTGTTCTGGTTTTTCTTAACAGACTTCTATATTCCTGTTTTCTGCGAAATTCTCTACAACTCCTTGTTCTCTTTCTTCTCACTACGCCTACATTTGAGAAATTCGGTGAAGAGTAGGAATAGAGAGAGATATGTCAACAACACTCTCTAATAATTTCTTACAAAAATATTCTATCTATTATTAGATGGAAATCATAAATTTTAGCTCTACTTTTTAACTATCACTAAATTTGAAATAGTTCATTAAATGAGATAGATTTTTAATAAATTTTAAAAAATAACAAAAACAATGTTAAAAAGAAAATATTACAAAGAGTACGTTGTGAACATTCCTGGTAGAAGAGATCGTGTTACCTGATTGGTCCATAAGTTGGAGTGACAACTGACCTTGCATGTACCCCCAACAACCTTGCTCTCAATATTTTTTTACTGGCTTCTGGAATTCATTTGAATATAGATGAAGAATTCTTAGAGTCTTGGTTTAATGGATTAATGAGCCAAGGAGGTCTGCATATGGATTCTAATGTTGGGCTTTATAGGGATGAGTGTGTGATAACTAAAGTTAAAAGCTTTTGTCGTGATCGGCTTTATGCATTCATGTGGCAACAATAAAGGAAATTGATTTTGTGGGTATAATTTGTACACCTCCTCGTGCAACTGAAGATTCTGGGATTTCTAACCACAATTGTTTTTATCTTAAAACCAAATTAGCATTGTGATTGCTGCCCAAACTGATTCCATTGAATAACAACACATCAATGTGCGTACACAAACGAACCCTTAGTTCACTCTGCATAGTGCGATGCATGGTGGGACCAATTACTACAAATTAAATAGTCTCAAGTGCCGCCAAAAGCGTTATTTGACAAAGATTTGTTTGGAAAGGAGGATGATGATACCCAAATGTTTTGTCTCACTCCACGATCTGCGGAAAAAAGATACTTACGTTGAAAACCAAAATATGAGAATATATATTTTTATTTATTACATGTTGATAAAGTAGTGGGTATATTTTCAGGACCCTATGTAAGAAAGAATATACTACGTTGTTATAATATGTAATGAAGCTTAGGTTTCATAATTGGTTGTCTAGCTTAGTGGTCTGTGACTTTGCTTAGAGCTTCGGCCACCACTATGCCTCGTTAAATTTAGAGTTCAAATTTTACTTGTCCTTTAGGCCCTTTTGTTGGATAACTATTTTATCGTGTTAATTATAATAAGTTATTTAGGTGAGCTAATAATATGATTAGCTTAATGTCTATCATATTTTGTTATTGCAGTACGTATATTTCTTGTCTCGAGAGAAGAGCTAGGTTAGCATGATATCATAATTCTCATTATATATGTAATTGTAATGATTATAATTTTATAAATATTATAGAATTATTTTAGAATTTTAAGAAAAGTAACTACATAAATAAAAAATAATTATATATAATTTAGTTAAAATTATAACTTTTTTTATAACTTGTAAAATTTTAAAAATAAATTAAAAGTTACTTTATGGAAATTATATATAATTTTAATAAAAGACTAATTTAAACATTTGAACATAATTTATATCATCGCCTATTATTATTTGGTACGTGTCAAATATAGAACAAAATAACACAAAAATGTTTTTTTTAATTTGTTTTCTCATATACATAAAATATTAAATATGATTATATGATTAAAATATATCCTACTTTTAATGATCATATCCTATTTTTAAATTTTTTTTCTCAGATTGTATATTTTTTTTATCATATCCTAACCATTTTTGAAAAATCAATAAAATAAATTTTTTTATAAACTCAATTTACTAAAACTACTAGAGTCAAATATAGGAAAAAATAATAATTTATATCATAAATTACTGAAACATTTGGACATAATTTATATCACCACCTATCATTGTTTGGTACATGTCAAATATAGAACAAAATAACACAAATTTTTTTTTTGATTTGTTTTCTCATATACATAAAACATTAAATATGATTAAAATATATCCTACTTTTAATCATCATATCCTATTTTTATATTTTTTTCTCAGATTCTTTTATTTTTTATTTTTTATTTTTATTTTTTATATCATATCCTAACCAATGTTTGAAAAAATCAATAAAATATATTAATTGTTTTTATAAACTCAATTTACTGAAACTACCATAGAATCAGCCAATAATAAGAAGATTAATATATATATATATA